TTTTCCCTCTATTGCTCACTTCTCACTTAATCTGTGAATAAAATCAACATTAAGTGACTAGTCATCAATCATCATGAGCGGCATTCAGAATATTGACCTCCCCCTTGAACATGTGCAGCATTGCGCAGTTTGGTTAGTTCGTAATTCTTGTATATTTCAGCTCAGAATTTTGCAAGTCCGACGAACACCTGACTAGCCCAAATTTTGCCAAAGTGCAGTTAGGTCCAAAGTGAATCTCCAACTCTAATAAAAGCTGAAAGCTGTCAATAAAATAAAATATCTGCAAAGGAATTTTTGTTAAGAGATATCTACTAAATCTTTGGCTTCTGCCTAGGTCTAAATTATGACATGTTTTTTTTTTTTACTTTGAAAAGGTGACACTTGTACTTGATGTTAGCCCCTGCTTTCCTGACAAAATGCTTCCTAAAAAAATGCAGGTTCTGGTCACAGTGTCTAATTAACAAATAACAGGTTCCCATGGAGTAAATGCAATATGTTCTTGAACTGCATAAAACCTTTCATACAACTTTTACAAATATGTATTTTTATAATTATGCCATGTAGTATGAGAAGACATTTTATATTTTCCAAACTCTGTTCTCCAATGGAGTCAGTATGTTTATGCAAAAATCAAAAATGGTAAATTTGGAATTTAAATATCAAAGTAAATTCTAGAACTACTTCCATGTGGAAATTGCTGCCTCCTTTATCCAGACCAGAAACAGAATCAAAAAATAAATAAATAGTAACCAAAACCCACATCTACTCAACTTGATATTGGTACATCCAAGATGGTGGAGGAACATTCTGTCATTATAGTCAGCCCAGTAAGACAATAAGATAGTGAGTCACAGGCTAGGTCACTGTACTACAGAAGAATTGAAATATAGTTACACATAGTTCAAAGGGTTACAGAATTTACAGATAAATGGATGAATACTGAGGAATCAGATAACAGGGGAGGTATTCTTACACCCAACGTGGCACAAATTAAGAATAATGTCGTACTGTTCATCAAGTGATTAAAAGAAGAAAAAAAAAGCAACGTTTGGTGTGCATGGTGCATTAAATGCTTTTTGTGATATGTTTTGCCAATCACACGTCGCAAAACATTGTTGAAAAAGGCCTTTAATCAAATACATGAATTATAAGAAAATGCATACGTAATATGATGCGAAGTAGAGCCATCATTGAATACTCTTACAACATACTGAATTGATGCTGGAGATCAGGTTGAACTTCTGAATGGCTCAAAATGCTTTGTGTGTGTCTGCGCTTTTATTTATCTATTTGCAATCATTAGTATATAATATGTAAAGAAAGGAAGATCGTAATTCCTCCATATGATAAATAGTCTATTGTGGAGATGTCATCATTCATTTCTAATGGTAACAGATGATCTGGGCGATTATAAAAAAGGTTACATATATAGGTTAACCAATCCACATCCAATCGACAATACAACTACTTGTGTTCTTTCACTTGACAAATTGTTGTTTTCTGCAGTCTAACACATACCTCTCATCTTATCTTATGTAATAATTACTCACACAAATCCTTTCTCATGCTTCAATTTAGGGTATACTCTAGGGATTTAATCTTGTAGACAAAAAGCATCACGAGTTCGTAAAAGGTCTACATGTTTGCAGAAATAATTCTGGGAACGTTGATACTTACAACAACGTGAATAATCACATTCTCTATGGTTCTGATATCAAAGATTACTTTCACTGCACTTGTTAAATTCTGCTGCACTTCCGTTAATCTCTGATTATACAGTTTTACAAGGTGCCGTAAAATAAGTAATTAGAAGATAGGGAATTTAACACATTTAATAAACAAGGGGTCCTTATTACAATCAGGTGTTATCCAGGCATCACCTTAGATGTAACAGACAGTGGCGGAACTGCCACGGTTGCAGGGGTCACTGCTGCGACTGAGCCCGCCACTCCAGGGGGCCCGGCAGTCCTGCGGACCCCTGCGACCGGGTGCCCGCATCCATGGGTTGCAGCCCCGGTCACTTCCTCCCAGCAATCAGAGAGAGCCATGCAGGAGGAAGGAGAGGAGGGAGTCAGAGTGGGAACTCTCACTCCCATCAGGCTGAACCACCATTGGACCCCAGGGAAAGTCACTCTCCAGCATCTAAAAGGTAGGAAACAGGAGGGTGACTTAAACATTTTGTATGTGTGTGTCTGTCTGTGTGTGTGTTTGTATGTATGTATGTGTCTGTATGTTTGTCTGTATGTATGGGTCTCTGTGTGCATGTTTGTATGTGTGTGTGTGTGTTTGTATGTGTGTATGTATGTGTGTGTCTGCATGTGTATCTGTTTGTCTGGATGTGTGTGGAGGGGGAAAGGGCTGGATGTGTGGGGGGTGGGGGGGCAGGAACATATAGGGGGGGGCAGGGCAATATTTCCATCGGGGCCCCGTGGTTTCTAGTTACGCCTCTGGTAACAGATATATGCCAGAAAGAATTCCTTATGAAAATGTATGCACATAGTTTATCCCCTAACAACAATGAGTGCAGGTAGTGATATCCCTTTGTGTCCTGTCCTTCTAATGCAAGTGTCTTTGTAGTTTAGATCACTCAGAGCTGTTAGTTGCTCAACTGTGCACATAGATTTCATAAGAAAGTATTTTTCTGGAGTATGGTTCAGGAGGTAGGCTTATGGTTCAGCATCCTGCAAAACAATTTCGGCCTAAAAAAATTTGGCAAAACAATGAGGCGTAAATCAATCTATCAAATGCATTAAAGTTTTATTGGAGCTTGGAGTGTCCCTTTGACAGCATACAAAATTGATTCGCCTTGGATCTAGCAATAGATTGTAATCATCCTCTAAGTTTTCAGTTTTTTTTCTTACTGCTAAAAATGCCCCATGGTGAATATAGGCTTTTCTAAACTGTTTCACTTTTTCTGTTTACTATAGGATTACATTGTACTAAACAGTCAGATTTGCAGAGGTGCAGGAACTGTGTTAAAGGATTACTCTAACCACCATGACTGCTTTTGCTTTTAGTAACCATGGTGGTAGGAGTCAGTATGTGCAGTTATTCTGCTTGAAATACTGCTCATACTGAGATATTGGCACTGGTGTGCAGTGGGCTAGTTACACCCTTGTCACATGTATCTTTGGCATACCGGAACATTTGATGTCAATTCTGTGCATAAAATACATTGGTTGTTAGAGTGCACAGCACGCTGACAACAGATATATTGAGCTCCCCCTTGCAGGCACTGTCTGCAAGGAGAAACATGGGTATCCAATACCTTCCTCCCTTTTTATTTACACCCTACTGCCTACCCAAAAAAAAATTATTTGCACTTTTACCTCACTCCAGTCTCCCTCACCAGCTCAGAGTGTGCGCATGTGCTCTGAGACAGTAAATCTATAAGAAGCCTTTGGTTGGAACTTGCGCTGCTGCCGTGACATCATAAGGGGGTATGGAAAGTTGTGCCAGGAGCTTTCTTAGGCACTGGATTCCACATAAGTAAAAAGTTTTTTTTTTTTTAATATAGTTATAGGGGGGGAGGGGGGTTGGCGGAGGGGTAGAATTATTAATTATGAAAAGTTATGCAGTAAAAAAGGTTGGAGTACCCTTTAACCCCTTAACCCCTTAATGACCAAACTTCGGGAATAAAAGGGAATCATGACATGTCACACATGTCATGTGTCCTTAAGGGGTTAAGGACACATGACGTGTGACAGGTCATGATTCCCTTTTATTCCAGAAGTTTGGTCCTTAAGGGGTTAAAGACCTTTCTGACATTTGTGATTTTAGGATAATTATTCAGAACATTTAATAAGTATTGTGAGAAAAGACATACCATAATCTCTAATAAATAAGAACACCAGTATTTCAGCAAAGGGTTAATGAACTTAGAAAATAAATAACATCCTGCAGCTTTTTATACTTTTAAAATTCTAGATATCTTTATAAAATTGCTGTTTGTTATTTTATGCCTTTGCTGTGTATTTCACCTTTCTTTTAATGTCTTTGCTATTCAGATAAAAATAAAAAATCGCTAGTGAAGAGATTGAAATCGCCAACAGTATGATATGATCCTGAGTTGCTTATTCACTAAAATTAATTGGAATGAATCAAATTGCAAAATTGGGTGGGAGATAGCCAAGATGTTACTATAGCAAAGTTCATAATTATTTAAAATCTACTATTTTTGCTTAAATCCTTTCATTCACATTTCAGTCTGGTTCAATTTGGAACTTAGCAACTAAACCCATAAATATTTTCCTGGGACTGGCAAATATAAGTCAATAAATTATTTCCTTTGACCATTTGCAAAACCGCATCAAGTATTAAAATGCAATAGAGCACACAGAATTTTCATATTCTGGATTTGTATTTTGTTTGTTTCGAAAAGGTTTCAGATACTATTAAAAATGGTAGAATTTAAAGTTGCATGATTTGGCATGTGATGTTGGAAACTACAGACAAAGGCCCCATACAACATGATGTGTATATAAATAAATGGAAAAAATACTTACCTGACTCAAGACACTCCTAGAAAACAATACTGTTAATCAACATAACAACAGAAGCAGAGCACACAATGAATTAGCTGACCCAATGACTACAGCTTTTTAACCTAGTTTAGTGAGAAATGGTGAGGGAAAAAAGATTTGCAAATGTCATAAAACAGTAATTATTGATGAACTCCCTGGGGGAGACAAAAGCTATTACATTTCTTATAGAGAAATCATATAGTGTTCGTATGCAGCACTTCCTCTCCACTACAAAGCCAATGTGAGTAAGAAGAATCCCTCTTGTGCAATAATATAGATCCTCTTTCTCCCCTACTTACTCATCCCTTAGCTAATCAGTCAACATTGATTGGGGGGTGTGAGGAGGGGGGGCATTGCCTCATAAATAAGAGCACAGCACAACTCTAGGAGAGAATGTAGGATCCTGCCAGGTGCTGATTGCTTGGACTCCTATGGGATACACTGATACATTTAAAGAGATTTACGCTGTTGATGAGCCAGATACAATTTTACAGACCTAACCTTCAGGAGTCTCTGATAAGATGATCAAGTCTTGGAAACACAACAGAGCCATGTCCATAACAGACAGAAGAACTCAGATGCTGAGCTCTGCAAAGCACCATCATCCACTGCCTTTGATGTTTGCTATCTGCTGCCTAAGTGCATTGCAACTTTCATCAGGTAAGGAACATACACATCTTAACACAGTCTGGGAATGGGGGTAGCTAGGGCAGGCAACAAGTAAGTTGGGAATGCAACACCAAAAGTTCTATAATCACACATTGCTCAGTGTTTAGGAGTGTATACTATGCGGCTTTGAACTTACATAATGCTGTGGGTGTTATTAACACATGGCAATTCTGGGGCAAAGTTCTACTAGAGAAGCACATAGTAAGGACATTCTATTTGTTCCCATGGTGCACTTTTAGAATTTCTCCCACAAATTGTAAAATGTAAAAGTGTTTATTGGAGAACTAGCCATGGTGCTGAAATCTGAAAGTAACGGATGGTACTTACTACCAGAATATTTCTAACATGCTTGGGGTTAAATACTGCTCATGTACATTAACTTCAATTCTTTGTGGATTCAAGTAAATAGTGTAACACGTTTTCTAGAGGATTTTGATAAAGATTACAAAAATCTCAGTGTGCAGTAAACAATGCTAAACAATGATAATGTAAAGTGGGCTGTATGTATAACAGTAAACCTCACTTGCTATATAAGTATGATTGCATTGTAAGTTTAGCTATTTAACCGAATTTGTCTGCAAAACTCCTCCCCCATACCACAATCTAATTTTCAAGTTAGGCACAGTGTACTGGAAAATTATAGCTTTTCAGTCTCTTTCTTTCCCAGTTATTAAGGGGCAGCTTTTAGAATTGTTTTATACTAATAGACCATGTATTTCAAGATGAAACACTATTTAGAGGATTATTTACGTACATGCATGAATTATATAGTGCTATAATATCTAGCAAAAAGTTAGTCAATCACTTTATATTATGACCTTTCAGCCATGTAATCTTTGATTGGCATTCTGAATGTTAAGCAATCGCCATGGAAACCAATGGAATGTGCACGTTTAGAATTTTGTCACAGAACTCATCTTTGTACAAATATAGTTCATTAAAAGTAGAATGATTGAATTTTAAATTGCATTTGTTGCAAATCTTCATCCATTGCAGCTTCTGCAGTGAACTCTTACAAAACAAGGAGTGAATCACCAATCGTAGTTATGTAACTTTCTGTAGCGCTACTGAGCTGATCCCATAGGCAATGCTTTGTGGGCACATCAGTGGTTTTTGCGGTAGAAATGTAATGGGTGGACAATGACTGTAAAAAATCTAAATCTCAACATCATATAGTGCAATATTGTTAAGTTGCAAATGGAAACACTACAGGTTGCTTGGAAGAGGCAGTGATGAGAAAACTATTATTATTTTCATTATTGTTAATGGGCAATTTAAAAAAGCACTGCATAACAGGGCACGTGTAGATACCTGGAGTGCCCCTTTAATAGATTTACATATTATCAAAGTCTTCCTTCGCTAATTCACAAGCTTACCAACACTCTATATAACAATGAGATAACTCTAGATAACCAACACTCTATATAACAATTAAATAGATTTCACAATTTCCACAGAGTTTTAAATATTGCCATGAATTAGTTACTTATTTAGGATTGTAGATTAATGCAATTTATAAATGAATACACAATTAATTTTTAATGCAAGATTTCTAATAAACCTATTGTCTTTTATTTTTCATAAAAGGTTTCCCACAAGCACTGCCACACTACGTGGAAAGTCTGGATATTCCTGAAAGTGAGGTAAATTTTTATATCAATTATATTTGATGTTTGAAATTAACTAGTGCATGAGGTCACATGACATTAAATGTGTTACTAGCCATTACAGTAGAATTAATGCATTGATTTACGACACCATCTGAAAACAATGTAAATCATCAATAATTAATGGATAATAGGCTAATAAACATTGTATTTTTAATTAGTACTGATTAATGCTAACGTACTTAAATGATTCTGAGGCTGATTTCGATCTGAAGCTACAATAAGTAATCAAAAAGCAATAAAGATTGTGTCCCTTGCCAGTGTCAAACATAGGCTATTAGTAGTTTTTAAAAGGGAACTGTCATTTTCCCTAGATTCTATTGTATTTACTTATAACTGTAATTAACAAATATGTATGAGGTGTGAAGAAAAAAAATATAATGTGTAAATCCACACCTCCTTATCTTCCAACTGGTTGTCTCCATCTTAGCTCTCTATTAGTCATTGTTATAAGCTCTGTCCTTTACACATGGCAGTCAGCATAGAGAAAGCATACAGAGACAATGAGACACGAAACATGAAGTGACAAGAAACCATGTTTGTATTTCTCTCTTTGTTTGTCATTTTTGCCCTACCTTTGCCTTGTCTGAAAAAAAAAATAGATTAATGCAATCTGTATGTGATTTTTAATGTTATATTTGGTTATGTAAATTCCAAAGATGAGACAGTTCCCCTTTAAGATGACTTAAATCATAAATCTTGCTATTAAAAGACGAATACACCACATTCTATTAAACTAGCTGAGCATATATTGTCAAATATTCTCTCTTGTAGACTTCTAGGTCAGCTACAGGTGTGTATCCCTCCTTTGATTTCCACTTAGTCACATAAGGGGTTAAACACACCTACATGTTTTTTTTTCCCCCCAATGGAGAGTTAATAAACATATTGACTGAATGAACAGGGGATATTTCAGTGTTAATACGAGTATTGCAACTTTAAGGCTATTATTTATTTATTATTTTATTTCATTTTTCACAATTAAATAAATACATATAGTATAGTAATCATTACGTAATATATTACATATTGCTCTTTTAATGTGCAGCCCATACAGCTGCACCCAAGTGTGATTTATAAGATATTCTTGATCTATGCAGCATGTGATTTAAGAGTACATAGATATTAAAGCTTCTTAGCATGATAATTGACTTAGTTTAACAGACCTTTTCTTTGTTTTGTTTAAAGAGATTAGCATTCTGCTTCAGCCAGTGGATAGCATTGTCAGATCAACCAGAGGTAAAACAATTAAATTAAATTAAGCACCACTTCTGTAACTGTCAACAGCTAATATATTGTTTTTGTTGGATGTACACAATTAAAGAAGGACATTCTATTTCAAGCTTTTCTAAAGGATTTATAGCAACAGCAATAGACATTATAATGATCAAAATTGAATATTGTATTCTGTTAATATGAACATGCACATTTTGGGAATGTATTATATCCAATATAAATATAATCAAATATTCCAGATCAACTAACTTTAAAAAAAATAAGTTTTTATTATTTGGTGCAAATAAAAGAAATGTGGTAATTCACAAGACTAAGACAAAGTGTCATGCACGGTTTAAGATACATACTATTTTTCCTCCTGCAAAGCTCACAGCTGATGACATGAGCTGCCCAAATAAATGCAAACATCTAGCAAATCAGCAGAGGCACATATATTAGATGAGCCAGCTTCAGCTATTACTCTTTCAGTTAGTTAGAGCTTTCGGTTTCTTTATTAAATCAGGAAAAAATACCTCTCTGTTAACTCCCTGTGAAACTAAATGTAAGTGATCAGTTCACCCACTATACTTTAGATTGACACAGGAAAAAATCCATCCAGTATGCTTTGTATTGAAGCACATGCAGATCCTCCAAAAGTTTGTAAAGCGAAGCAGAGACATCCTCCAGTATGGTTTTGAGTGAAGCAGAAACTAACCATGCAGTATGCTATAGCCTGAAGAACATCAAATCCTCCAGTATGTTTTAGATTGTAGCAGTAATAAACCATGCAGTATGCTTCAGATTGAAGGAGAAGCACCTCCGCCAAAATGCTTCAGATTGAAGGAGAAGCACCTCATATGGTATGTTTCAGATAGAATGAGAAGCACCTCCTACAATATGTTTCAGATTGAAGGAGAAGCACTTCCTACAGTATGTTTCAGATTGATGGAGAAGCACCTCCTACAATATGTTTCAGATTGAAGGAGAAGCACTTCCTACAGTATGTTTCAGATTGAAGGAGAAGCACCTCCTACAGTATGTTTCATATTGAAGGAGAAGCACCTCCTACTGTATGTTTCAGATTGAAGGAGAAGCACCTCCTACAGTATGTTTCATATTGAAGGAGAAGCACCTCCTACTGTATGTTTCATATTGAAGGAGAAGCACCTCCTACAGTATGTTTCATATTGAAGGAGAAGCACCTCCTACAGTATGTTTTAGATTGAAGGAGAAGCAAGTCCTACAGTATGTTTCAGATTGAAGGAGAAGCACCTCCTACAGTATGTTTCAGATTGAAGGAGATTGATCGTCCAGTATAAATTACACTAAAACAGACAGTTCATGGCCATTCAAAAGTGCTGCCATCAATTGGAATTAGCAAATCTAAACATTTTGTATAACTAACCACATAGAAATATATACATATCCTATTTTCCGGCTAAGGTTTTCATTTTTTTATTGGCAGATAATCTCAAGCCATTTATCACGTTGTTTTTAGGCATAAGATCAGGAATATGTGTTAACAGCATTTGCAATATGTTGCTTTGTCAACAGAAACGAATGTTTACGCATTGAAGAATGTGTATACTGTGTATGTATTCTCCTAGTTAAATGAATATAAACTGTTAAAAGATATTTAATATGTAATGGTTTCCTGTTGTGTTGTCAAAAAAATAATGACAAATACACATGGAGTTTATTTTAAGGGGCAATCACAGGTAAACTAAATCCATTAACGGTGGCAAAGTGTTCATATTGAAGATAAACGTGTTCCCTTTTTAACTATAGGATTCTAAGAGGCAGTTATAAAATCCCAAGAGCATTTCCAAACAGCTTCTATTTCTCTACTACTGGCAGCCATTGATTTAATTTGTACAGTGCAACAGCTCTATATTACAGCCTGAAGCTTTTGTTTCCAATGTTACATTATATTACACTTATTTCACTGGCAATAGTGCAGTTACACATTCAAAGTATAATAATAGTGATAATAATAAACATTATATAAATGTATTTAATTAGGAAGAGTAGATTTAGCTTTCATTAATTTCTAAATCAGGGGCATACCTGTCTGGGGCAGAGCTAAACTGCAGTGAAGAGAAGACTTTGGGGTTAAACCATTTGTGAATGATTCAACCCTAGAGGTAAGTTGTCACTAAGTAATTCCTGGCACCAGAACAACTTCATTCTGATGAAGTTGTTATGGTGTCGGGAGGTTCTCTTTAGACAATAAACTGCTGCCATAACTAACAGCTGGTAGGTATTTGTTTCCAAGAAATACCAACAGTAGTAAGCTATGCTTACACCAATGACTTAAAATACATTTGTTAATAAATAATCATAACTATAAATAATATTAGAAATAACTGGACTGACTTCTCTTAAGCTCTGAAACAATAGACCTAAATGAGCTGTTTTTAGGTGGAAACCAGCAAAACTTTCAGCTGAAATTACCCACCTGACGAGAGATAACATCATGGGCTGCAAGCACAAAAAGACAAAGGCTGGCAAAAGTCCTTTGGGACAGAACATTGGCGATCTGTTTTGCAGTTCACAGAAGGCCGCATGGAACAATATGGCGTCCCTTGGTGAGGAATCCTCATATTATTCTGAGGATTTTGCCTCTGATCCGGGAGAAGGGGCCTCACTAAGCAAGAAGATGGAACATAGCCCTTCGACAGCAGGGCACCGAGAACCGGTCACCGCAACACAACTTAAGGCGATGCTCGACGAGCTCTGCACAAATATAACTGGGGACATGGCCGGTTTCCAGAAAGCCATTGAAGGCGCTGCAACTCAGATTACCCAACTAGAGGTTGCACACAGCACTCATGACACTAGGATCACTGCAGTTGAAAGAAAAATAGAAGAACTGCAGCAGCGACAGCAGCAAGCTGATTCTAAAATAGATGTCCTGGAAGATCACAGATGGAGGTACAATCTGAAGATTAGGGGAATCCCAGAGTCAAAGCCTATGGGGGCCTTACCTCACTTTACCCGGAGATTTTTTGCCAATCTTCTCCTGTCTAAGAATGCCAGGACAGTCAAACAAAAAAACATGTTCTGCCTACCAAAGCCAGTGGGCGCGCAGCCTTTCGCGGCTCCAGATCTTATCCTCAGGTTTCAATCCTTGCAAGACAAAGCAATGCCGCATACGGCGGAATAAGGAAAGAGACTTCTCCTGCAAAACCTATGGGACAGAGGCATTCCTTACCGATGGGGATCACCTCGAGCAATCTCATACACCATCCAAGGTACATCCCATAGAGCTGGAACATACCAGGCACTGGAGGAGAAAATGTACAAGCTGGGCATGCTGCAGGCGGCGGGGAACGGCAAGATAGACCTGTCGCAACTAGACCTGGCAAAGATCCCGGAGTTCTCACCTCAAGCAACACGACCCCCCCAAACCCACCAGTACTGTGACCTAATTACCAGTGACCTGATGGGAAAGCCAAACCCTAGCTACGGGGGTCTCTGCATACCTAGAGACTTTCTCATGCTTTCCACCGATCAGCTTAATACCTCTCAATTCATTATGATTGTTACTGTTTCCCTTCTCTTGTGTTTTACATTTCACATCTTTTCTGGTCTCACCAACTGCTGCTTAACCTCATTAGATCTACACACAGGGGACACTTCATAGAAGTGACCTTAGCTCAGGCTCACATTATTCTCCTGCTCCTGCGGGCAATTTGTTTAATTGTCTCACAGCCAAGATACAATCACGTTCCTGGATGCATCTCGTATTCCCCCTTCCCTCCTATCCAGAAAAGCGTAATAACAGCTGCTAATCCCAAGATTTAGGAGGATCATCTCCACAGGGCGGATCACTCCCCAAGTCCCATGGGGCACATACCTTCTTGTTAATATACTGTTGAACTTCTCTTCTCACTATAAAACTAAAAACTCACTCCAAATCATCCTCGGTCCATGCACACACTCACCGCGCTCACTCGTTATGAACACGTTTATATGACTAATGTGATGACAACAAATTTCTATTATCTAAATGTGTGCTGACTTGTTTATAGTTTATGATGTACTCTCTGATGTGGAGTGAGACAAAATAATGAATTAAAAAAAAATAAAGAAATAAAAGTAACTGGACTTTGTCTCTTGATACCTAGCTGAGGCGGTTTATTTTTTACAAGCTAGTGGCATCCAGTAAAATTTGGCAAGTAGGAAAGAATGAATTTAAACAGTAGAACTTAGTATATCTTGTTATGCTCTATAGAAGTTGTTAAACTTCTCATCCGGGAGAGGTCTTCTAGTATGGAAGCAGTTGCTACTAGCTAATGCCAATGACACCCAGTTATAATAGTATTCATTTCATCTGGAAAGGATGAAATGCAGATAAACTGTAGAGTGTTATTCTTATAATATTTATAGGAGCCATCATTATTATTTTTGTTATATTCTTTATTTTTGAAGTGCAGAGTGGAATAGATGTTCCAGTAATGACATTTAGCATGAGAGAGAATAACAAGATATAGATATGAATGGTCATAACATACTCCATTTCTCTCTTCTTTTTTTTAAACATGAAAAACAATAAAAGAAATACAGGCAAATTATCAAGCTGAATATACATGTCTAGTCCTAGCTGTTAGTTCGAACTTACAGCTGAATAAGGTTGCTAGACATGATAACTAATAATATGAAATATTAAATCATACTTGGACAAAATATGCGTATGCAAACGGATTATAAACTTGACAGGCTGAATTAAAGAATATGTTACCACTGGGCTACAAAAATGACCCCTACTGAGAAAGTGGAGAGACAAAAGAAATACATCACAGACAGCAATGTCTACTCCAGATGTTTTGGAATACATCTACCATAATGTTCTTACAGCCATAATGCTGGCAAGGCATCAAGGGAGATGTAGTCTGCAACAGATGGAGTGCTGAAGGTTGCCTACCCCTGATCTACACTAATGTTTTTCAGAAGTGATCATCTATGAACTATATAGAAAATACTCTTACAAAACACTACAATAATGAATTATTCATCTTTTTGTAAAGAGATGTAATACATTAGTTCAGCCAGCAGACAAAGACAGTCTTTCTACTGATCAATGACTGCATACACAAAACTTACATTGTATCTTTCTAAAGCAGCATAATTGGACCTCTAGCTCTTAACGAATTTCAATTCCATTTCATTGCCAAGTTATATGGACTATGATAAATTGTACGCAAATATTTTTTAAAAATGGATGGATCATATACTGAGAACTTATGGAATTGTTTATTCTTAATAGTCATTGCATAATTATATATTAAAATCTTATAATTTGTTTGTTGAAATCCAATTAAATCCAATTTAAGGATAAATATTGAATGAATGCTCAAAATCACTAGGTGTGAGTCACTCCAAATCACACAAAAAGCATACAACAAAATAAAACAAATAATATGGTAAGAGCAAAATACATACACCAAGTGTAGATAATGAAAGATATATGAAACATGCAATTTTACCATAAATCTGTGGACTTTCTAAACATATGTCCTAAAAATATAAAATACAGAACATAGCATAGCCTGTATGTAATGAATGAATAAAGTAGATATAAAATCTCCCACTCACGTGGTGCTGAGCCGTAAGAAGTGGCTCAGACTACAAGCGCCTTTTCAATAATCTGGAGACCACAATGCTGGAACACAAATCAGGATGTTCACTGGAAAGTTTCCCCTTGTATAGTTTGGATTAACACCAGGTGGAAAATAAATACAGGAGCAAAATCTTTATTTGCATAAATAACAGCATAAGACGGAATCTCCCAAATACAATTGCATATATCTACTTTTATATTTTATACTGTCCACATACAAACCAATATAATTGGACAATTATCAACAACCACATGGCAACCGAATATAAACCGAATGAATCCGGCAGGATGCACATTTGAAAATGATCATTCACTTGCTTTTTGCACGTGAATTGATCATTTGAAGAAATATTTTCAGCTCTAGCTGCCACCAAGCAAATAGTTTAATACCCTTAGCAGTGCGATGGTTAATTATGTGGCGGATGGCCTGCACTTATTAGCCAGCCGCCATTTAAAAAAAGTAAAACAAATAATGAATACATAAAAATCCTATGGGGGTCAATAAGACAGCCATATTACCAGCCATGTCGCAAGTGGGGGGCATGTCTGTTTAATTTTTAAAATAGAAACTGGGCTGCCGCTGGGGAGGGGGATGGGTGGATAGCCAGAGGTCCTCAAACTCCTAGCCACCTAAATTACCTTACCCTAATAATAGTGAGTGGGGGACCAATTAAACTAATATCCACTGAAAAAAAATATATATATATATATACTTACCATCTTTCTTCTAATTATTCTTCTCTAAAGTCCCAAAAAACACCAAATTAAAATCCAGAATTTCCAACACAACAGTTTAAACTAAAAAAAGACCCAATTGTAATAAAAAATGCTGGGGAAAAAATGCAGCACAAGACAAATTAATTAATCTTCACCTATGGAGGGCTCACAACAGATAGTGCTCTGGTAGAGGGAAAAGCCCCTATTTAGGTTTTCCAACACTATATCAGCTATTAAAAAGTGTGGGAAAATTTTAGGCCATTACAACTAGGCACCTTTTTGTGCCATTTTTGGCTAATTTGAGTCGTTTTCATTAAAATTAGTTGGAGGCAAAGCAAAATCTTTTCCTGGATAAATCGATTTGGACTAACTTACTTTTTTCACCATGCACAAGTCTAATAGATAGTACTGTACACACAATTTATTGATTTCAAATCCTAAGGAAGGTAATCTGAGTGGCATTGAAGGAACACTCCTAGCCCCATTACATATTACAAGCTGTAGTGGTTATGGTGCCAGGAGTGCCCTCCCACCTCTTTCCAATGCAGTAGTTAAACCATTTTTTATATTAATTAGGAAAGCCAGCAGTGCTCAGTGTGACCCATCAGCTACCAGCTTGGTTTAGGTAGATACCAGAACACTTATTTTCTTAAAGTTTCACATTAATATTTTCCAGATTTCAAGTTTTATTATGGACCTTTGTAGTTCCATCTATAATAGGATGAAAGTTGATGAGGTAAGGATAATGTTTTGAATTATTCACATTTAGAAATAACTAGTGTATTTCTTCAAATAACTAATCTGTAATGCTTTTATGTGATTATTTCCATTAGGAGAATAACCAAGAAATATACAAAAGAGTAAGTATGAATATAATACATTAACCGATGCATATAAATCTTAAGCGTATAATTAATTGATTATTTTTTGCTAGTTTTTATTTCACTACTCTAGAGCCAAGGACCCTGCTCTTAAAGCTGGGGTAAGTAATACATATTATTAACATTATTTGTGCACAACTTCTTGAAAGCAAATGTTAAGGAACTCTTTCATATAGAAAACCTTTTTAAGAATTCCTCTATTTATATAATTTTATATCTTAAACAGCTGCATAAGGATGTAGTGTGTGTTGCTAAAACTAATGTTAACTCGTGTTACAATGGTAACTGGTAAAGTTAAATGTTTAGTATGCTATGTAAAACCCATGGAAATATTTTTTTATTTAAAAAAGAAAAAATATGTATAAATTAGAGTTCCGAGATAGAAGGTTATTGTGAGTAATGCTAAATAAATTGCCTGTACAAATTCAACCAGAAAATGTTATTAAAAAATAATAATAGACTAGAATAAATTAAATGCAATAATATAACTTGCAAAAGTGAAAAAAAAATACAATGAATCTTCATGTATCTACATGAAACTTGCAATTCAAATCTTTATTAGATGTAATTACAACATGCAATTTGCCAGTCAATTCTTTATTAGATATAAGCTTCCTAAAAATTAAATGTGGTATGGAAACCTGCTTCAAATAAGCAGGGACATCATTAAGTTAATCTTAAACATGTATCCATGTACATGTGTAAAATATAGAACACTGAGAAATTTCAATTACCTAAGAGGAGCAAATCATCCAGTTATAGTCAATATAACATGAAATAGAAGAATACACCACAATGATTGATGTAAAGTATTTATAAAGAGAACCTGAAATATTTACATGTAAGACTTGTCCCACCATAATGTGGAGTCCAGATCTGAAATGCTGGCCAACTCCTACAGCATTAGAGATACAGAATAAAGAAACTGCATACACAAGGTACTCCTCCACTGTTTTACTTCTAACAGAGGCCTCAAATTAATATTGTTAGACAAACTTTTTAATTGTTGTATTATTTTTAGATAAAATTTTAAAATATTTTTTTTTCAAAATATTAAAATACAAAAAATATCTAAAAAAAAAATCTAAATATTACAGAATTAAAATAATGTTTATAATATTATATCATTTTTAAATATTTATCTAAAAACATTAAATGATGATCGCCATGTTGACTGGTCGCATTGCAGAGCAGCTCCTGAGCTTTCTGATCTTTTAGCTGAAATAACAGCAAATACACTCACCCTGCACCAGTAGGTCGTGGTTGTTGGCATACTGGTGTGCTGGTGCCTCCTCAGATCCTGTTTCCTGTGAGTTTGTACCCTCCATGGGAGAACTGCAGCTCCTGCGATATTGAGCTACCCAGGCAATGTGGCATGGACAGCTATCTTAGTGCAACGCACCAGTTATCCAACAAGGAATATTGTTAGCCGTCACCCTCCCTCCTCCCCATTGGACTTGTGAGGGTCATCCTGGTTTACCTGTGAGCCTTCCCATCAGCTGCTATCTCAAGCGTGCCTTCAAACATCAAGATGGGTTCCATGCATACAGGCAGGATTAGAAGCTTCTCTTAGCACCTTTGACACTTTAGGTGACCAGTTTGGGGCTAAATTAGGCCAATGATATGGGATTGAGATGCCTCTATGGCCTCCCATGGAGTATAGTTACTGAAGCTCGAGCACGGATCCAACCAGTCCCACAGAAACATCAATCTGAACTCCACTAATTGTATAGCCTTTACTTAACCAGCCAATAAAACATCTCTGGGAATTTTGTAAATAAATCATTTAAAAAACACAGCAACAGATGTGGGGAATAGCCAGGTGTCTTTGACAATTCCTGACAGATTATTATCTACAGTTCCTCTGGCATGGTGAAATGGGTGCAGACATACTCCAGACAGAATGAAATGAGCATCGGTTGCCTGTATGGCTATATGGATCCAGAGGCACGATGCTAGCTTTTTCCCTGACCGAGGAATTGGTTGAACACCATTAGTTGCTGGACTGCATTTTATCCACCTGTGAAGTTGACTATTGTCTATACCAGACTGGTTTCTGGGAATTCTGATTTATGATTGTTTAAATGGTCTTTTTCATGTCTTTTTGCCTTTTTTGTTTACTTTATTCTATTCTACTGTAGTGTGCTGCCTGTATCATACTGACTTACGAGCAGCTCCAGTGGTCCTATAATAGCCTGTTCCATTTCTTACAAATTGTGCTGTCTATAATCAAAAAAACTTTCACATTGCATATATATTTGCTATTTCTATACATTATCTGCATTGTTATGCTTCTATGTGTTCCTTGACTTGCATTTGAATCATGCATTGTAAATCATGAATCATGAATTGCATTATAAATCATTTGAATCATGCAAAATAAAAAAGAAAATGCTTATCCAACAATGATAAATCTTCTCAGCCATACATTATCAAACATATTTTCAGACTTGATGACTAAAACTAAATGTGAAATATACAGTATACTTATGTTACAATGTGGGAAAATGCTATGAGCACATAGATATACTAACTTTCATAGGAACCGTGCCCAGGATCTATATGTTGAGCTTTAATATTCCCAATTTCGCAGAATAAAGATGCCTCATCCACAATTATACTGTAAAAGAGAGATGTATGATGCAGTATATGTAAGTATTTATTAAAACAACCATATAAAAACTATACTCAAATTACAATCTAGCATCAACAAGAGGAACTGAATCATTTTCCAGCTATTAAACTGGTTGACACATCACTGGAGGCAGAACCAAGACAGATACCGAGAACCTCTAGTAACTGCAAATATTATGGTGTTCCCCCAGAAACATCAATCTGAACTCCACTAATTGTATAGCCTATACTTAACCAGTCAATAAAACATCTCTGGGAATTTTGTAAATAAATCATTTGAAAAGCATATTTGAAAGAATAGAGGCTCAGAATAGAATATAAGTTTCTTACCTTGAAATTGTGTATTGTGGATCAATTACATAGTTTATCCTTAATAGCCAATTTCAAGGTAAAAAAAAAAAATAGTTTGCTGGTTGGTTGGTTAGGTCAGTTAACTTTCTAATAAACATCTGCTAATGTACACTTGGTGGAAAAACACCTCCCAGTCCCTCCATAATGGCATCTGTTTGCAAGACGAAAATCTTCTCAGGGTTGGTCTTTCTAAATCAGAAGCATTGATGATCTTTTCTTTGATTGGAGAGCTTCTTTACAGTTTCACTTTTCTCTCTGAATAAAACCTTGGCTGCTCCAAGTTTCTAATTTCAAAAGATTACAAATAATTCTGGACATGTAAACACTCTACAAGTTGGAAACAATAGCCACCAAATCCTCAAGGAGTATAATAAATCTGCATTCTTTACTTGAAGCCAGTAGCTACCATCACCACCACCACTTAGCAGGAATGGCTGCCACTCCACTTCAGCTGATGGAATATATAACACATAATTTACTGAACTTCAATTTTCAATTTGCCTAAAGACAACTTCAGTCCTTCAGTTTTTTTATGATTTAACATGCATCAGTCATGTGTGTTTTTCAGGACTCCTTAAAAAGATGATCAAATCATCTAGATTGACTAAACATGCATTCTGCATTGTTGACCACCCGCTTCTCTGTCTCACCCTTCACAGCCTTTGCTTCTGTGGCACTGCTCTTTCCTGGTTCTCTTCCTGCTCCTTCAGTGATTCCTTCTCTGGTTCTTTTTACCCTTCAGTAACTCTCTTGGTTGGAATTTATCAAAGCTCTGTACTGGGACTTCTTCTTTTCACTATAGACACTGCCTCTGTTGGTAGCCTGATATCAACCTATGGCTTTCAATATCATCTGTATGCTGATCATACCCAAATCTACCTCTCCTCGCCTGATCTTTCTCCCCGACTGCTGTATTGTGTCACTGACTGCCTTTCATCTCTTTCTGACTGGATACATTTGCAATTCCTAAAACTCAACCTACCCAAGACCGAACTCCTTGTCCTTCCTCCTTCTAAAGCCACATCTGTGCCTGTTTCCCTTAAGGTCAACAAATGATAAATATTTACCCTGCTAGTGAGTTGCCTTGGTGTGCTCTTTGTCTCTGACCTTTCCTTCACCAATTATACAAAATCTATCACCAAATCCTGTCACTTTCACCTTAAAAATATTTCTCACATACGCCGCTTTCTTACTTAAGATGCAACTAAAATGTTTGTCCATGCTCTTGTTGTTTTCCACCTTGATTATTGTAACCCTCTACTTGTCGGACTGAAAACCACCCAGAGTGCCCTGTAATGAATGCCTCTGCCAGACTCATCTACCTTGTATTCAGGAATTCTCACACCTCACCACACTATTATTCTTTACACTGGCTTCTTTTTCATTAGGAATACATAACTACAACCCTTTTTATATCTCCAGCACAGCTACTTCACTGAGCTAACAACCGGTCACTGTACTGTTCTCGCACCCACACCACAGACTCTTGCCTGCAGAACTTAACTAAGGTTGCTCCATCTTTTTTGGAATGCCCTCCAGAAGTGTGGCAGAGCAACACAAGACACTGAGTTCTGGAATAAGCATTCTCTGTCAGGATGTTTGTTTGGTGGACATGGTGTCCCAAACTAATCTTTGTTGTCTCTATCACTTTTCATAACTCCTGGCGTGGTGCCACGACTCATACTCAGCAACATAGAAAAATTCTGGTGATATCTAGAAGGGGACAGCATTTTGCCGTTGCAACTCGGGTGTATTGCCTTATGGTACCAATTCACTAAGTTAGAGTGTCAAGATGTTCCACCTATAGATGTCACCTGGATCAAAGGGTCCCACCACAATCCCTGATAGTTTTGTGTGCATTTAATAAGCAGGTGGTGAAAGTCTGAAAATAGTACTTGAGATTGCAGCTTGCAAAACAAACAAAGCACAAGAGAAGGGATCCTATGTATTGCAGGCAGACCATGTAGTGCAGGCAGTATGACGTAATGATGAAATATTTTTCTTATAAATAAACCTTCTGAATTGTATTTAGCCTGAATGTTTGCACAGCATAAACTAATCTGCCCATAAAGTGCTATATAATTATATGTGAATATGTCATATTACAGGAATCACAGATAACCACTGAAGAGTTTACAAAAAAGGTATGCTTATTACATATATATCCTACTGAGCTTTATATTAATTTTTGGATGAATAGTTCATAAAGTGGAACTCTCACATTTATAGATTGTTTAAAAAATTCTGTTGTTTTTATATTTTATTTTACATTGTGAGCTTGACAGTCTAGGCACAGCAAGATCATGACATAAAAATCAAAATTAGTCAACACAATATGTACGTTAACCTTTAAATGGTAGCCATTACTAATCTTTGCTGATTTTGAAAATACTATGATATAAAAAAACAAAAATATTTTAAAATGTGACTTTCCACTTACAAAGTATATCTAATACTATAGATTTCCTGGAATATCAGCTGAAGATATGCACAATGATCATATATTGTCACGATTCATAAACATTTGAATGAATGCATTCTTTTCCTTTTCAGGATAGCTCGGGAACTCTGGGAAGACCCTTCTTCCTTTTTAGGGTATGTAATGAAAACAATCTGATCTTCATGTGAAAGTGTTTGTAGTAGATAAGGGGACTTAAAAGTTCATTAGGTAAAAAATGTGTAGGTGGTTGTGAGTCCCAACAGCTTGTTTTCGTAATGACCATGAGTTTATGTGTCATGGACATGCACTTGAAGGAAACGAGACTTGTGATTGTGCATTTATTTTCATAGCAAAATAATCATCATTACTGCCTCATCATTGCATACGCATATACTTCAATGATAAGGTTTATTAAAGGACAATTGTCATCAATTTGTTTTAATGACCTTTACTGAAACTAAATTATATATTTTTTTTTTTTTTTATAATTCTTTATTTTTGCAGTGCTTAGGTTTAACACACACACTTGTATTGCCACGACAGCAAGTACAAGTCGCTGAAACAATACATATTGAACAGTATCATGGCAATTATTAACAGCACTTTTTTTTTTTGCAAAGCTTAGTAAACAGTATGGTGAAGACATAGTTAACTAGCAGATAATACATTCTGCAATGGCATTCAGCGAGATCATTCGGCTGTAGTATGATAGATAAGCCTATGTTCAGTATGTGAAATAGATATAACACAGGAAAGCCCTTAAACAGCACTTTTTTTTCTTTTCTTTGTGTAAAGCTTAATAAACAGTATGGTGAAGACGTAGTTAACTAACCGTTAATACACTCTAAAATGGCATTCTGCAAGATCATACAGCTGTTGTCTGACTGATAAGCCCATGTTTAGCATTTGAAACAAAGATAACACAGGAAGGTCCTATGAAGCGTTAATCTGATAAGTGAAGAATGGCGATGCAAAGAATCTAGACTTATACCAGGGAGAGACAGTGTGATTTATGAGAAGAGCGACAGCAGGGCATGGAAAATAAAGGCATAGGGCATATGCTGAGTAGATGCTAGTTTACGCTGCACATTCAGGATTAATTGTCTGCTGGATCTCCGCTCTGTATCCTGCCATTGCTCGTGAGTTGTGCTTGCCTAACCCCTGCACCTCTCTGTGCGAGCTGTGTGTTGGGTGTCCAGCTGGGTGTGTAGCTGACAGAGAGCAAGCCAGGGGAGGACAGTCCCTATTTGATGCGATGGAAACATGCTTGTGTGAGTGTGTGCCAGCAGGCAACAGGTGGGACCTCTGTGTGGGGTCGTTCCTAAATTGAACTGTGTGATAATCTGTGAGCAGGGTTGCTATATGCTGGGCTCCACTGTGTGCTCACCGTAGAAATCACACCGTCTCTCATGTTCCTCTGCAACGTGCTGCTGGGCAGGTTATGTAGCAGGGCTTGCTGAGTCCTCCAATCTTGTGGCTCACCCGCCTCCAACCCGATGTTGTGAGCGGAGGCTTGATGGGGGGGCTGGTCCGGTGTACTCCACACTGCCAGCCCTGGGCTCTGCTTGAGCGACCGCTTGTGCTCTCGGTTCCGGTTCCACTTCTGGCCGGTAACGGGCTGCCTGGCTGATGGAGTGTGCTTGGGCTTAGGGCTGCGGTTCGAGGAATGTCCTCTAGGGGCTCAAGGCCCAGGAAGGCTGCTGCGGAGACCGGATCCAGGTTCCGGGTATGTGAGCCGGGTAAGCCAGGAGTTTGCAGCAGTGTGTGGCAGGGCACTGTTGTTGCGTTCCCATGTTGCGAGATGACAGGGCTCAGTGTATCTTGTTGCCCGCCAGCGGTTTGTTCACTTGCGTCTGGCTGGGGCTCTCAGGTTACCGTCCGCGCACATGGCACCCGCCATTTTAGGTGTGGCAGTCGGGCTCCCCGGCCTCAGTTGCAGTGTCGCGGTCAGGGCCACAGGGTGAGGACCGGGATCACCCCCCCGGCCTAGAGGGGGGGGAACGGAGCCGGATCCGTGCTGGTCTGTACCCGTGGCTGGGTTCCGTGGCGCAGGATAGTGGGGCAGCGGCCGTCCGCCCCACTCACCGCAGGAGAAGGCCCCGGTTGGGGCAATGTGTTTTTCTCCCCTAGGGGACTGAAGCTCGGTGAGCCAGCCTCTCCCCAGGTCCAGCAGTCTCACAGCTCTGGGTATCTGCTCTGGCGGTCTGATTTTAGGTGGTGAGGCATGATTTTAGAGAGTAAATTTTGTTTAATTGCAGGAGCTGCTCAGGCTTGCGACCGTCCAGCTCGGCGGTCCGGCCCCGCCCCCCAAATTATATATTTTTTAAATGATGTGTATTGATTTTTGAGAAAATTCACTTTTTTTTATTTGGCTAAGCAGCCATGTTGGGTTAGACTCCACTGTTAACTGACCAATTGCTGCTAAACCTAATTTGCCTGCTGCTGCAATTTTACACAGAGCAATCACAGCAGCAGGCATGCTAGGTTGAACAGCAGGTGGTCAGATTACAGGGGAGTCAGACCCAACATGGCTGCTCAGCCAGATACAATTAATTGTTGTTTTGTTTTTGTTTTTGAAATCAGTACACATTAAAAAAATATCATTAAAATAGAGCAGACACATTATCTGATAGACTTAAAAAACAAGAATCCAAATCAAAGATATCTAAATTGATAGTAAACAACAAAACTCTATTATCGCCTGACACTATAGATAAAGCTTTCAGTAACTATTATGAAGATATATATATAATCTAAGTAACTATTCCCAATAATCAGATATAGATAAATATCTCAAAAAAAAATTTTTTTCACAAACATAAAAAAACTAAATTAAACTTACCTATATCTACTGATGAAGTAGATCAAAATATATCTAAGTTACAATCCCAAAAAACACCAGGGCCTGATGGCCTAAGTAATCTTTTTGATACATTTTTCAAATCAAATTTTGTATCTCAATTAACAGTTACATTCAATGGTATAGTAGACCAAAAATACTCTCCTACAGAACTAACAAAAGCTAATATAATTCAAATTTTGAAACCTAACAAAATATCTTCTCAAATCCAAAACTATAGGCCAATGTCTCTCTTGAATACTGATATTAAATTATTTGCATCTATTCTCGCTGAGAGATTAAAACAAGTGTTAAATGATCTAATACATCCAGATCAAATAGGTTTTGTCTCTAATAGATTCTCAGGTTCGAATGTTAGACGACTGATTAACATACTCGACCTAGGGGAGAGACAAGGCACTCCCCTCCTGACCCTCTTGATTGATGCTGAAAAAGCGTTTGACAGGGTCAGGTGGGGAATTATAAAGAAATATTTGCAAAGTTTTGGTATTCAGGGCTGGATGCTCCAAGCAATTATGTCTATGTACCATACTTCATCAGCAAGAACAGTTAATCATGGTATTCTTTCTGAATGGTTCCCTATAAAAAACGGTACCAGGCAGGGTTGCCCACTTCCACCCATTTTATACATTTTATCAATACAACTGTTTGCAATGAGATTAGAAGTAATTAAAATATAAAAAGGAGTTTGTATTAAACAAAAACTATTTATATCAGTCTATATGCAGACGATGCCCTTATAACAATAACAAACCCACAGGAATTATTACCAAATTTATTGGAAGAAATTCAACAATTTAGTAATGTTTCCAATGATAAAGTTAATATAGAAAAATCTATGATTCTCCCCACAAAAATAGATCGAGATAAACTAAAAGTTTTAAAAAGCTTATATCATTTTAGTTGGGTTAAACATAGTTTTGTATATTTGGGAGTTAAAATAACAAAAAATCTAGATAGATTAATAGATTAAAGTAAACTACATGGAAACATTAAAATCAACAAATCATTCTATTAAAAACTGGATGAAGGTTGAATTTTCATGGTGGGGTCGGATCTATTTAAAAACAGTTATATTATTCCTAAATTGACATATTTGTTTCAGATAATACCCCTTTCAATTTCTAATCCTTGGCTTTTAATGTTACAATCTAGTATATCAAATTTTCTATGAAAAAGCAAAGCCCCCTAGGATTAGCTATAAGATTTTATCTATGCCTAAGAAAAAAGGAGGTTTAAGATTCCCAAATATAAAAAAAATTGTATTAAGCTAGTGTTATGACCCACTTATATCGTCTACAATCTCATTCCCCAGAATTTGAAGTATGGCAAGACATTGAAAGGTCTATGACAGTATTTTATGATTCATCTTTAATTAAATGGAACGTTAATGAAAAACAATTAACTAGCTCTCTAAAACAGCAAAGCACAGTTTTAACTCAATTAATACAAGCTTGGGTAACCATAAAAAAACCTAATTCAAATCAAGTCAAAACTACTACCAATAAATAAAACCGGAATTTTGGAGGTAACTACAGAAGATTTGAACTTTGGAAATAAAATAATATTTTCAATATATTTCATTTGATAATTAATGCATCCCTAAAATCATTTGAAGATTTGATGGAGGAATTTAATCTTCCTATCTCTCAAATCTTCAATTACCTTAGAGTAAAAATATTTTAAATAAATATCTTATTTACCATGATTTCGTTATAACTTCAAATATTTCTAAAATATTTAATCACTCAAAAATTTGAAACATTTTGTCAAAATCTAGACATTTGATTACAAATCTTAACAGTATACAAAAAAAGACCTGTTATATCCAAATAAGAAAAATATTTGAAATTAAATATTGAACAAGAGGAATGGAATAAAACATTAACTAGCTTTACACCATTTGTTCATTGTTTAAATCTTTTGGAGATGCAAAATTATTAACAGATGGTATTGGGTCCCCACAAAATCTGTAAAAAAATTCCCCATCTGAGTCTGACTTATGTTGGAGATGCAACATACAAAAAGGCACCTACTTACACAATTGGTGTGAATGTGATAGGCTTAAATATATTTGGAATAAATCATCCCACTGGTTCACCAAAATATCCAACCTTAAAATAAACTGGTCTCCAACTTAAGTTTTACTACATCTTAATTGGCCAATTATGCCCCTGAAAGATAAAATGCTGTTTACACACATACTACTAGCAATTAAATTAATCATAGCACAAAATTGGAAATCCACTATTAGTCCACTGTGGGACAAAGCATATAATCAACTAATGGGTCAGATTCAGATGGAGAAAGGGGTTAGTATTAACCTCTTTAATTACGGTAAAATTTTTTTTATATATGTGTACAATGGTTAACAAGAATAAAAAAACATTCACAACTTGATTATCCTAAGTAAAAACGTTCACTCTGATAATGATCTTACTGAATATTTGGACCTCATATTACTCGACAGTAATAACATTTCTTCTTTGTTTGTTATGTTTTCTTTTGTTTATCTATGTTTGCTATGAAATGGGTATGTACTTTAAAAAAACAAACAAATAAAAAAAGAATATGAAACAAAAATAAATATCATTAAGTTCATGAAATGTAACAAACAAAATAGAAGTAAAAATGTTAATTATGTTTGAAGAAATACTCCAAGCAGGAGCACCCAGGCACCAACCCAGTGTGCTTGTCAAACAGTTTTGGAATGTTTTTTACAACTTACCGCAATGCATCAAGCCTGCTCCTGTAGGAGAAGCTATATGTTTTCATACAGCTAAGCATGGACAGTACAGGACTGTAGTCATTTGCGGAGGTTGCTCAGCTGATGCTCTTGGCTTATGAGTATGGTCCTGCATGGACCTAACAGATTCTATTAATGGAAAATCCTGGAACCACCAGAGCCCTGCTCAATTTTGTATATAATAGGTTTACTCAAACCAAAAACAGTGTTTTATTAAAACACAGTTTTTGGTTAGAATAACCCTTTCTGGCACAGTCCTTCCCGGTAAAAAATAAAGTTGGGAAATGATGCTGCTAGAGATTGAATTGGATCTCTGGCAGCAAAGGTCTCTATCTATGTACGTATCTTGAAATGTTGTTCATACAGACTCCTAGCACCTTGGCTACTTTTGACCACAAAACAGTCAGGGTGCTTGGACTAACCCTTTAAATTATGTCATACTCTATTTTTCATATGTATTTTTATCCATGAAACTAAAATGTAGCTAAACTAATCGAGAGCGCTGCTAGCTGGATAATTCTAATACTACAAACTGCAAATGAAACACAATACATTTTGATATAGTAATAATAATTGGACCACCAGAAAAAATAATAATTCTCATTTTCAACCAAATAATACATATTGAGGTAGCAACCTAAACATGGGTCACTGAGGATAATTGATCACTATGGAGCTGAACCCAAACTTGTTTCATTTTCTTTTTGATCAGGCAACACTATTGTGGCTACTAGAATAGTATAATCGATAGGGAGTCAATAGTTATATGAAATATTTCTGCATTTAGGGTTAGGTAAATCCACTGATATCATGACACTATGAAATGTCATATATCGTGAAAGGAGTTCAAACGATCGACAAAAGTGACCATCCTACACCGGTAATATGGCATTAGATTATTTTTTTAAAAGTCATCTAAAAGTGGTAATACAATGGAATTAATTAAATATTAGAAAACACGGAATATGAATTATGGGTTGTAGCAGAATCTACTAATTGCATTTATATCTATATTCCCCAACAGCCTAGAAATGGAAGAAAGGTTTCTATAAATGAACACTAATAAATGGAAAAAGGTAATTTTTGAGATATGTATAATTTAGATTATCACTTATTTATTGGCTTGAACTGTACAGTTTATTACATAGATGCTTTTGGCTCTCAGGCTAATTCTTCTTTAAGGTCCCTGGTATCAGGGGATAATGCAGTCAGAAAGCAAGTCCTAGAACTGCTACTGGAGCAGGGCCAGACTGGCCATCAGGCAAACCAGGCAAATGCCTGGTGAGCCGCAATGGCCATGGGCTGAGGCTTACAGGGAGATTAAAGGATCTCCCTGGCTGGCCCCTTTAGGGATGGTGATGCTTGGCCTCTGGCCCATAGAGGGAGCTCTGTGCGATGGGGAGATCAAAGATCTCTCTCACCACCCTGCACACTGATGCACAGCGCAGGCCCTGTGCACATGGTCTACACCTGTCAATGGGTGTAGACCAGATGCTTCTTTCACTGGACCACCAGGGAAAATAATTCCTCCCCAGCTTTCCTGCCAAGGATCAAGGTAAGGAAGAGGGATGGGGAGTATGTATGTTTTTTTTTTTTTTCCATGTTCCCCTTCCTTTACTCAGCAGTCTCTGCCCCTCCCTCTTTTACACCCTGCAGCTCCTGCTGCCCTCTCACCCAGAAGCCCCATGTCCCCTCTCACACCCTGCAGCCCCTGTCTTCCTCTCTCACCCTGCAGCCCCTGTCCCCCTCTCACCCGGCAGCCCCTGCCCCCTATTACCCTACAGCCCCTGCCCCCCTTTTACCCTGCAGCCCCTGCCCCTCTCATACACTGCAGCCCCTGTCCCACTCACACCCCGCACTACCTGTCTTCCCCTCTCACCAAGCATCCCCTGTCTACCCCACTCACCCAGCAGCGCCTGTCCCCCCACCCAGCACCCCTGTCTTCCCCTCTCAGCTTGCAGCCCCATGTCCACTTTCATATCCAGCATGCCCTGTCTCTCCCTCTAATAACCTGCATCCCCTGTCTTCCCCTCTCATACCCTGCATCCTCTATTTCCCCCTCTAACTCAGAGGCTTCTGTCCCACCACCTAGCACTTCCACCAGGACCCCCCCTCACCCTCTCACCCAGTAGGCACTGCCCCCCCTCACCATGCAGCCACTACCCCCCTCTCACCTTGCAGCCCCATGTCCCCATAAACTACAGCCACTGTGTCCCCCTCTCACTCAGCAGCTCCATGTCCCCTCTCACACCCTGCCCTTCCTCTCACCCAGCAGCCTGTCTCATACCCTGTAACCCGTCTCCACCTCTCACTCAGCAGCCCGTGCCCCCCCACCCACAGTCCCCACCTCTCACCCAGCAGCCCAATGTCCCCCCTCTCACCCAGCAGCCCCTGCCCCCTCTCACACAGCAGCCCCATGTCCTCTCTCACACCCTGCAGCCCCTTTCTCCCTCACACCCAGAAGCCCCACCACCCTACAGCCCCATGTCTTCTTCCCACACCCTGCAGCCCCATGTCCCTTCTCAACACCCTGTAGCCCCATGTCCCTTCTCAACACCCTGCAGCACCATGTCCGTTCTCACACCCTGCAGCCCCATATCCCCTTCTTACACCATGCAGCCCCATGTCCTCTTCTCACACCATGCAACCCCATGTCCCCTCTCACGCCATGCAGCCCCATGTCCCCTTCCCACACCCTGCAGCCCCATGTCCCTTCTCAACACCCTGCAGCCCCATGTCCCTTCTCAACACCCTGCAGCACCATGTCCTTTCTCACACCCTGCAGCCCCATATCCCCTTCTTACACCATGCAGCCCCATGTCCTCTTCTCACACCATGCAACCCCATGTCCCCTCTAACGCCATGCAGCCCCATGTCCCCTTCTCACACCATGCAGCCCCATGTCCTCTTCTCACACCATGCAACCCCATGTCCCCTCTCACGCCATGCAGCCCCATGTCCCCTTCTCACACCGTGCAGCCCCATGTCCTCTTCTCACACCATGCAACCCCATGTCCCCTCTCACGCCATGCAGCCCCATGTCCCCTTCTCAAACTCTGCAGCCCCATTTCCCCCTTCCACACTCTAGATCAATATAATACAGAAAATATAAAATTATATGGGAAATCATACAAGCAACCAAATAAAACAATAAAATATAACTCTGCAAAGGATTGGAAGTTTTATTTGCTACAAGAAACATACAGTCAATAGATGGCACTGTCACACATAATTTTAATCTGGATGGTTGTGGTTCCATTACAGTGTTCAGCCAACAGAAGGCGCTGTGCAATACAGTGTCCCTGTGGATGGATGCAGTTCCATCACTCTTACCAGGATTACTTCCTTAGAACATTTTAGTCTAACATTTTTTATATTTTTGACTACAATAATTGTTTTATTAATTCTATTGGAGTGAGCATGAGACTAACACAAGCTGCTGAAAAGTGTACTAAATTGATTTATAATAAGATCACTTTTGAAGTAACTAAAGATATTTTTCCTTTTCTTTTTACAGAATCCCAAATTAAGATGTGCTGCATGGATTAAATGAAAAGTTGTTGCCCCTCGGTTTAACAATGAAAGCAGTTTTCTCTATTTGCACAACTTCAACCAAACCACTGCTCATTTTGACAAAAAAAATCTAGTTGTGGCAATTTTAAATATTTTGTCTTTACAGTGTCAAAGAACTACAAATGTGAATAACCTTCAATAAAAATACGTATTTGTTATTTTGTAATGTATTGTCTCATAAATGCATTTTTAAGATTAATATAGCTAAATCAATGGGTTTAATTAACTAAACAGTGAATTGTAGCCGATATTATTAAAGTATTTAACCAGGAAAAGTACATTCAGATATACTCTGGTTTCCAAGTATACCCTGGGGATGTTACTTTTGCCCAGTTTAATGGTACTCAGAATGCTTGGTTGTACAGGGAGAGGTATTAGCAGTAGAAAGAGGGAAGTGCCCATTCCATTGTACTGAACACTGGTGAGACCTCACTTGGAGTATTGTACGCAGTACTGGAGACCATATCTCCAGAAGGATATTGATACTTTGGAGAGGGTTCAGAGAAGGGCTACTAAACTGGTTCATGGATTGGAGGGAAAAACTTACAAGGAAAGGTTAAAGGAACTTAACATGTATAGCTTGGAGGAAAGATGAGACAGGGGGGATATGATAGAAACATTTAAATACATAAATGGAATCCACACAGTAAAGGAGGATACTATATTTTAAAGAAGAAGAACTACAATAACATGAGGACATAGTCTTAAATTAGCGGGACAAAGGTTTAAAAATAATAACAGGAATTATTACTTTACTGAGAGGGTAGTGGATGCATGGAATAGCCTTCCAGCTGAAGTGGTAAAGGTTAACACAGTGATGGAGTTTAAGCATGCATGGGATAGACATAAGGCTATCCTCGCTATAAGAGGACTAATGAGATGTTTTAGAAAATTGTGCAGACTAGATGGGCCAAATGGTTCCTATTTGCCGTCACATTCTATGTCTAATTCTGTGTATCTCGAAAAGGATAAAAAGCTGAATCAACCCTGCCAGGAATTGAGCCTGCAACACCCAAGGGTTAAACAGATTATATTGATGATTAATTAGCCCACTAAGCTATCTCACCAGCCTTAATGGCTAACAATGCCTGTTTTGTCCCAATATAGCATTTGTGTGCCAGTGTGTCTGTATGTGTATCTGCATGTTTATCTTTGTTTGAGGGTTTGCGTGTGTGTGTATCTGTGTCTATGTGTGTGTATCTATGTGTCAGTGTGGATATCTGTGTGTGTATTTGTGTGTTAGTATGTATCTATATATGTGGGATTGTGTGCCAGTATCTGCATCTGTTTAAGAACCATTTGGCCCATCTAGTCTGCCCAAATTTCTAAATACTGTCATTAGTCCCTGGCCTTTTCTTATAGCTAAGATAGCCTTGTCGTATTCATACAAAATCATTGTAGCAATAACATTGCAATAACACATATGTACATTATGTGTCTGCTTCCTCTTTCCCTCCAGGCACATCTCCAGCTTCTTCCCCCCGGGACTCCAGCACAGCTTCCTCCCCAGGTCCCCTAGACAAGCAGCCACTGCTTTGGGAACAGGCTGGCAGTGGCTGCATCCAAAACGTATAATTGGTCCAAAGTCCCACCAAAGTCGGCAGGCACAGCTGTAACATGAGGTGCCTGACGCTCATATATCTCTCTGTGCACTCCCCTGCTCTGCCTGATTGTAGAGCTTAGGAAGGCAGGCACCGCTTCAAACATCTGGTGCCTGCCTTCATATGATCTACAGTCAGGCAACACTGGAGGGAGTCGACTGAGGAGAGCAATGGAAGGCAGATTGGCAGCAAGCTGGCGGGTCATGCTCCCTTCATCTGTAATATAGGTAGGCAATGAACAGACAGCAGTGCCTGCCACACGGCTCCCTTGGATACCCCCACCTGATTTACAAAAAACTGTGCCTGGCCCTTGGTCCCCCAGGTCTCTTCTGAAGGTAAGGCACGTGCAGTACCCTCACCGCCTGATGAGGGTATAAAAATGTTTAACAAGCGCACATAGCTGTTGCTGCTGTGCCACAAGACTGTCTAACTGGCAAACTGCTCCAAGGGTAAAGCAATAGATCACGTCATGAAACAATTCTAACATTAACAATTAACTGACAATCACATTAAAATGACTGTATAAACTTTATTTAAGACCACCACACCACTTGCTTGGTGTTGTGACTTTCATCTTACTTTGTACTACTGTTCCACTGTGAAGATCGTTTCTCTCTGTTTCTTATATATCTTCCCAGGTAAGTGACTAGCATAGCTTTATACATTCCATTGAGTTATCGAGAGAGATCGCTGCTGTACATGACACATTTGAGTCTTGTGCTTCAACACCCTGGATGGCCGCTTAGACACAGTCAGATGAGAGTTCTTCTGTACCCTGCTTCATTATTGTTTCAAAGTCCATAGGCAGTCTGGATAAACTAAACTATCACAGAAGGTGAAAGCGCACACATTGGTTATATTTTACCTTTGACATATGACAAATAGATCCTTTTTTTCAATAAAATTAATTATTAGATCCTATATAGCATAAGCATAAAGAGTATCATAGCGTAACATGTAATACACAATACTAAAAGGTTAAAATGTAACACTCACAATTTTCAGAGCCCATAAAAGTTGGCTCTGAACTATAAACGCAATTCATGCACAATAGGTATAGTTGGTAACAGATGAGGTCCTACTGGAACTGGGGATTACCAGTCTCCTCTGGATGTGTGAGTGAGCCCTCGGTTTGTGGAGAAGGCACTCGTCGGGAACACACAAAAGGTAAGGCTGAGGCGGCAGGTAATTAATGAGGTCATATGAAGTATCTCCCATATGACCCCATTAATTACCTGCCAATCCTCCATATGACCCCATTAATTACCTGCCGCCCCAGCCTTACCACAAAACAGGATGAACGAGAAAACGAGCAGAGTCAGGATACCAGAATGAAGAATAATCAAAAATCACAAGTCGAGTCAAAATATCAAGATACACAGACAGAATAAAGCTAGCAATAGAGTGAACAACCAGCGAACCACAATAGAGCACTGAACAAAAGCAAAAGGTGCCCTTTTATAGTGGAACATATATTGCTTTAAATCCACACACCCAAAATGCCAGGGAGCGTGGAATATTTTTTAATGTGGTGCGCTATGACGTTGGGGCGGATGCACTGCATCATAAGAGGGGGGCGTGTGTGGAGCGGCAGGCATCTGACATGCCGTGCCATCGCCTAGAGGAGTCGGCACCCAAAGCTACACCTCGTGGGTCCGTGGGAAAAAGGTAAGGTATCGTAACAGTACCTCCCCTTCCAAAACTGCCCACCGAGCTGGAAGAACCTGGCTTATCAGGATAACGATAACTATCTTCTGTCCGTACTCCCACCTCTGATGCTCTCCTTCAAGAATTCTCGAGAGCTGCACCATTCCTGTGGAATTCACTTCCCTCCTGCATTAGATGCTCACCCAGTCTCCACTCCTTCAAAAAAATAATTAAAAACCCACTTCTTCATAAAAGCTTATCAATTAAACTGCTAATAGCTCCCGACTGATTTCTCTCTTGCAACTGTCATTAGTCTAATACTATACCTACCTTTTGTGTCACTTTACCCCACTCCCTCTAGCATGTAAACTCATTGAGCAGGGTCCTCAACCCCTCTGTTCCTGCATGTACAACTTGTTTGGTTACAACTACATGTATGTTCGTCCACCCACTGTAAAGCGCTGCAGAATTTGTTAGCGCTATATAAATAACATAATAATAATAAAACGACCATGAAAAGAACGGAGCAAACGAGGAGTGTGGACATCCCAAGCTTCAACCCATGATCTCTCCTCAGGACCATAACCTTCCCAATCTATTAAATAATGTAGTATACCCCTAGAATATCTGGAATCTAGAATGGACTTGATTTTGTATTTATCTTGCCTCTCAGCTTGTATAGAAGAAGGTTTGGAAACCGTTTTCGTAAATCAGTTACAAACAGTGGCGTACACATGACCCATGGGGCCCCGGTGCGAAAATTGATCCGTGGGCCCCCCCCGCGGGCCGCAACACATGGCGGTGGGCACCTGGTCGCAGGGGTTACAGGGCTGCGACCCCTGCGACCGCGGTATGTACGCCAGTGCATGCAGATGCACACACACACTTAAAGGACCACTCTAGGCACCCAGACCACTTCAGCTTAATGAAGTGGTCTGGGTGCCAGGTCTAGCTAGGGTTAACCCATTTTTTCATAAACATAGTTTCAGAGAAACTGCTGTGTTTATGAATGGGTTAAGCCTTCCCCTATTTCCTCTAGTGGCTGTCCCATTGACAGCCGCTAGAGGCGCTTGCGTGCTTCTCATTGTGATTTTCACAGTGAGAGCACGCCAGCGTCCATAGGAAAGCATTATGAATGCTTTCCTATGTGACTGGCTGAATGTGCGCGCAGCTCTTGCCGTGCGTGCGCATACAGCCGACGGGGAGGAGAAGAGGAGGATCGGAGGAGGAGAGCTCTCCGCCCAGCGCTGGAAAAAGGTAAGTTTTACCCCTTTCCAGAGCCGGACGGGAGGGGGTCCCTGAGGGTGGGGGCACTGGGGGGATTCCCTGGGGTCCAGTGGTGCTGCTGGGCTCCTGGGCGGGTGGCCGGTCGGGCAGGCAGGCGGGCGCGCGAGGGAGCACTCAGTGTTTCCTCTTCAGCTCCCTCGCGCGCCGCGTAGGGATGCCGGCGCCGGCAGAGTCATCTTCCGGCTCCGGCATCCCTACGCGGCGCGCGAGGGAGCTGAAGAGGAAGCACTGAGTGCTCCCTTGCGCGCCCGCCTGCCTGCCCGACTGGCCACCCGGGGTCAGCAGGGCCAGCCTCAGGGGGCCCTGGGGTGGTCGGCTCCTGGGCCCCCCAGGGGAAGAGGCTGGCCCTGGGCGTACATACCGGGTCGCAGGGGCGGCCGGGCCCCCTGGTGTGCCGGGCCCGGTCGCAGTTGCGACCCCTGCGACCCTGGTATGTACGCCACTGGTTACAAACCAAAGGCTTCAATCGAGAGACATGGAAGGCGTTCGGAATTCTCAAAGAGGAATCTAAGAGTAGTTTGTAGCAAACAGGGTTAATCCGTCGGAGAATTTTAAATGTTCCGATATAA